AAAAAAAAAGCCTGCTACTTCACTTGACTTTTTCTTATTTCAACTACTAAGACCTACTTGCCTTCCGGGTCTCATTAAATATGTTTCTAGTAGTCGGCCATCTTTATCTTATCGGGGCTCCAGATTGCGTAACTGCCATGCTACTTGTTACTACTTGTGCGAGTTTGCTCTCCACCTCCTACATTATGATAAAAATAAATCATCGCTACATTTACTGAGGTATTCTCAATCATCTTACTGCATCTCATAGTAAAACATGTGTACACTGGTCTACTGTGCTTGAACATGGCTGGGTTGTACATGTGAATCACAGAAATCTCACAATTACTTATAAAGATAAAGCGAGCATGCAATTACTTCCTGTCAAAACAATACATCTCAAATATTAGATTGAATATTCATGAAATGCTCCAACTGTAACTAAACGTGATGGCCACTGTCAGACTATGCACGGATGTTTTCCATCTCCACGCGTCTGCAGCTCCACCACAGAAACCCTCACTGAAAAATCTGCAGGTAACCGACATACGACCGACACACGACCGACACAATGCGTTCACTGTGTAGGTCAAAAGTGTTTCCAGATGTTTGACGGTTACCGACAGGATTCTTTGCAGAGCGCATTGTGCTTTTGTGTGCTGTACATGTCAGAGTGTGGTTGCTGATCCCTGCAGGCTCTGTAGATGCACTTCTGGTCAACAGATAAAGGATTAGACTGAAACATATTGCCATTGACATCTGGTTATAGCTCTTAACATGATTCCATGCAATAGGCACCTACATTTATCTTCCGTCTTTACAACTAATAAAACAAGTCGGGCTGAAAGTCACAATGTCAAGCTGCTGTGTCGGCACAAAGGGAGCTATAATAAACCCCTAAATGACCACCTTTACCTCTGCTTACATTCAAATTCACGCAACACATTCGCACAACTTCACAATCTAGTGAGTGCTGCAGAGTTGATTGATGGGTTTGAAGTAAAGGAATTTGTGCAAAGCTGATCTACTGCGTCTCTCTGCCTTTGATACCGGAGCCGTTCGTGGTGTAAAGCACCCCTCCCTCGTCTTTTTGCCCCCCGGCTTTGCATAAGGATGTATCGGGTTATGTTTCAGCCCCTCGGCCCCCCTTTTTCTTGCCCAGGCATCATACGGTGTACATAGTTGTGCATCAGTGTAACTTCCGCAAGAGGTTTTGTTTTCCATTAAAGTTTGTATGATGATGAAAATCTGACAACAGTGTGTGTATATACGGCATGTTCTTCATTAATCTGTCCTCAGGTTTGTCTCTTGACTTTAATGGGCTGGTAACTCACATGCAAGTCCCCGCTTGTCCCCACAATGCGTTCACCTGAACCTGATGTTCTTGTAAAGGTCCCAACACGCCCCTCCATCTCACCGTCCCATGGGAGCAGCAGCTCAGCGAGTTTCAGCCGTAGTCAGTCTGGCGCAAGATCCTGCAGGACCAGTGCCCTGAGGACCGTCTGTGCTTGCAGCTACACGCTGCCTTACACTTACTGCACTGACTCACGGGACAAAAACTATGCTTACAATCCCCGTGTATTCCTACCGTTCTAACTGAGGATGTGGCCTTTTATTAAAACGAGGGCTGCTCAGTCAAGATGGTAGGCAACGCCCGACTATCTACCCATTGATCAATATGGCAAGACATCTGACAGACAGAACTTAAATCTGGGGTCTATTAGCAAAGTCTTGAAAAAAATAATTCAAAAACATTTGATTGATCCACTGCTGGAGGCAGAGATAAAACGGGTGCAAAACAAAGCCCGTTTGATTTTTTGTTTTAAGCAGAACTCAGCATGTCCACACACAACTTTCCTGTTCTCTGTAAATCAGGGACCGTGATGTGTAGCCTTTGTGTAGTCTTTGTCTTCCTGGGCGAGGCAGCGGGTTCAGCCAACTGTTGCAATGCTGCGACACGCCCCGCCTATCTCCTAGGTTACCTAAACCCTGCTTCGGCACTGTGGGGGTTTTATCCAGCGACCCATCTGATGTTTGAAGCTACGCTCGCTTGTGTGCGGTTTCCTCTCGGGTTCTCATTAATTTGTTTGTTGACTGTGGTCCAAGCCAAGAAAACATGTCGCAAAGTAAAAATTAAAGCCAAGCAAAAAAACAAAACATTAAACATTTATTTTTTTATATTATGGCGATAGCTTATCTGCCGATCCCTCCCCCGTTGGTCATTGCCGAGTGAAAGCCGTTGGTTGCATTGTGTACTTCTGACTGGACTTTGCTCTCTTCCAGTTAATGAGTGATGCATCCTTTCACTCTCGGTGTACCTTGCTCCACCATTGTCTTTACCGCCATCCATCCCATCCACACAAACAGAACACGGAGGCCACACGTTTTACTCAAGACAGCTACATCTCGCACCCATCACTTCCTGCCATCTTGTGAAGCAACAGCCTCTGTGGATGACTTCATTCAGGCGACAACCCCTGCACTGTAAAAACAAGGACTGCGTATCAGTGATCGAGTTGCAACAGATGGATACTGTTCAGCGCCCGATGGTGAAACGCTGGTGTGACATTCCACACCATCGTAGTGAATTCAGTCCGGTGTCCACGGGCTAATCTTGTGCTGAAAAGTGCACACATCGTTCACTCTTTTAAACTATTCGAAGCTTCTCAGTGACTCACTCATACATGGCTGAAACTAACAGACACAGAGGGTATGGCTGCTGAGATAATAGATTAGTAATCCCCCGCCCCACACACACACACACACACACACACACACACACACACACACACACAC